TAAAAAAGAGCGATGCAACATGAAATTCCATATAGTTAAATGAGAATATGATTGAAAAGTAAGAAAAAAATGTTTATATGTTCATTTTTTTCTCAAAGGATTTCTTTGACAAAGAAATCGCGAAAAACCTATATCTCAGTCGAAAAGTATTTGCTCATATTTGCACCAATTGAGTATATTTCTCCAATATAGGAGAACATTCTTGTAAACTTTCATCGATATCGGATTAGTGAAAAAAAAAGTAGCGATAAACTTTACTGAAGCGTCTTTTTGGAAAATGAAAGCTTTTCTCATAAATCGATAGAAAAGAAATTCTAGTTCCAAACTATATATGATTTATTACTGAATTTATAACCGAGTTTTTCCAATATATTTAGCAGTTGAGGCAATTTTTTTATCAAAAAACTCATCGTTAATCAACGTGTATAGTTTACTTAACTCGACATTGATGAAAGATTGAAAGACTCATCTAAAATTGAATCTAAGAATTGAAAAATTATTTACTTTCAAAACATATTTTAAATTTTCTATATTAATTTTAAAAAAATCCTTTTAGTGTAAATGAATGTGAATGAGAAATTCAGTTCGATCATTGTCTAAAATTGTCCAATCTCGTTAATATTATAATAGTAACATCCATGTCGAAACTAAATTTTTCTTTTGGTTTCATATCCCAATGATTATATTTCATTTTCAATTCTAAAGACTTCAAATGTTGTTCTAATTAATTAACAATTCGCGATCAGTTACTGAAATTAGTAACTGAATTCAATTTATCACCGATTCTTGAAAAGTCGTTCCTTGTGCTATAATGACGACAAAGCCTTATTGAATCTTCGATTTTATGCTAGCTTTTTTGAAAATCACCAGCAGAGAACATCACAGAACCTGTGCCCTACTTTTGGACTTTCAAGTTATTTCATTGATTGTGATCCAATGAAGTTCTGATCTATTCGTGAAATTCGTCGTGAACTCTGTATGCTTATGTTTGTTTTGTTCATCCTTTGGATATCAAAGTTTTTTTTTCCATTCTTCCTTTCATTCCATTGCTGAAAAACACGTGATATTGTAAATGATTTTTGTCTCAATAGTACTTCTATGATATTTGACATCCTACCTTATAAGATCGTCCTGTAGATCGGACGAAAATAGCCGTTTTCTAAACATCATGATCTTCACGACATGAAGGAAAACCAATATCTGAATTATTTTCTCATTGTATTTCTGGAGGATTAAATACAAACATGGTGAAAAAGTACATTCCAAAATAGATCGAATAAACCAATCTCCTTGAGATTAGCAACAAGAACTAAATCGTGTTTCACATGTTAATCTCGTAAGGATTGCGCTAACAATTTTTCATATGAACCGATGAATTTTCATTAGTAGAAGTGATCTTTTTGTTCCTTATGACATGAAATGCTATTGAATTTATTTCCATATGAATACTCTAGATTAACTATCTTCTGCTTAACTTCAGACTTATCATGGATTTATGTCTTCCTGTCATATACAATAGAATATGTTACTGTTGCTATCGCTGACGGTGTCCGAAATGAGTCAATTTTTCGTGACCTCACCTGAGGTCGAAGACATTTTTTGTTAAGAAAAACGAGTTTTTTTCACACGTTAACAATCTTTTCAGTGTATCTATATAACCTCTCTCAATATTCGAGACAAAGAAACCACTATCTCATCTGAAATTACCGTTTGGCTTATAAAAAGTTCGAAATCGGTCAAGTCTGAGTGATCCGACCCGACTCGAGTCGGATACTGATCGCTAAGCATTATCACAATGTGTTGTGTTTCATTTTATTAGGAATTCAATTAAGTAAAACAAACATAAATAATCAAAAAAGATTTTATTTATTTGATAACAGGTGAAGTATTAATCAAAATTGAGAAAAAAGAAGTTTAAACAATTTTGAAATTAACATTTGTCAAAACTTTTTCTATTTTAGTACCTAGCGCCCTCTTACTTCCCTAATATTTTAATGAGTATTTCTGAAATGTTAAATCATTCTATTAAATACAAAGAAATAGCAAATTAAAACAATCTATCTCATAACAGGATATAACTTAGTTTTAATTACAAAATAGATGGCACCTAGTATAAGAAAATCACAATTATTATTGGCCTAGCATAGCCGTGGTAAACAATTGTTTGTTTTGTACTAAGACATAGCAGTTAGTCGCATGCCATGAACCTCTCATGAAATTACAGGAAGTTTATAACAAAGATTAAAAAAAGAAAATCTTTGATTCTATTGTTTGTTAAACAAATTATCAAAGCGAAATCCATTGTTATCTATTTCTTCCAGTTGAAAATAGTTCATACAAGCTAACATAATTATAAGATAACAAATATTCTTTTATCTTAAAGTATTTATTTATTTTCTTCTATACATATAAATATTATCTATTTTTTATTTCAATAGGTAAAATTGATATACAGTTAGAATAAAGCGTTTCAATACAACTAAATTATTTAAAGTATATTATCATTTAAGCATTATTTAATATCTTATTAAGTATTGGAAAATATTTTATCAATAATGTCTCTGTAGGAAATATACATTAGAATTAAACATATTTTAATCTTTTATGTTTAGTCATCGAGTACAAAATTCAATCATGACAAAATAATAATCTTTTTCTACTGAAAATATCTACTAGTACAAGAAAATATATCAACGATGATTGATAAGTTCTAGAGCGAAACTTTCAACAGGATAAGTCTATATCGATTAATAGAGTTTTCAGTACAAAATGACGAAAAAGCTTGATTTTGATCTCATGTGTACGACGTCGCTTGATATTAGTACAATTAAATAAGTGTGAAGACTATTAAAGAAAATATATGAATATACATGTAAATGAATAGTGTAATTTATTGATGTTATAGTTAGTTAATTTAATTTTTCGTGATTCGTCTCAAATCTTAGCAATGGTTTTTTTTAGTAGCTCAAGCTTAAACGAACATTCTCTTGGTACTAAACACTAACAAGTTAAACTTATTATTCTTTGAAAAATATAAGGAATGATTTATGTTTTTCAAAAACATTTTTCTACAAAAAAAAAATGATTTCTCTTTCTCGATGATACAATAAATCGCTCTTTATTGACTTTGTAGTATACATTGTATAGAAGTTAATATTGTTCAATAAATTTTAGTTTTGATATATTATAAACTAATTATTTGTTTTTATATGAAAATTCCTGCATAAGTAAAATATAATGAACGATTATGTGTCAGTTAAGAATAAGAAAATTCATCTTAAAATGATAATAGCTGAATGTTGAGTTAAAAATTATTATTCTCTAGAATATAGAGCTAATGGGAAATAACTTTTACGTAAGTATGATTAAAGAATCTCTAGTACCCAAATTATTATTCTAGCCTCTTGCCAACCGAATACAATATTTTATTTTAATGTAATTCGTCGCACATTGTCTCGAAGGTATTTGATTGGATTCGTTTGATTCTTATTGTATAAAAAAACACAGATTACGAATTCTTTTTTATGAAATTATAATCATGTTTGATTAGTAATATATATCGAATAAATGAATTTGGTTGAATTTGTTTTTCAGATGAAACTCAGGCCGGTGCTGTTAGTCCAATAATAATAATATCACGCAAAAATGATGAATCATTTACACAGAATAGAAATTCATACGTGGTAAGTGAATCATTTTTATCATGATTTTTATTTTGCAAATAAAAATACTCAGATGCAATAAATAATGTTTACCAGTTTTTTTCTGTGCAAAAGAAATTAGTAATAGAATATTATGGCATGACCGCATGGTAGGGAAAAGGGTAGATTCGATATATTTTACATATCGCCCACTTTTTTTTTTGTTCTTCTGCTGCTATTCAACAAGAAAGAAAGAAGATAAGACTGCATATGTATACCGTCTGTACCAACTGATACATGTTTAGACATAGCTGATCATCGCTTATACTCATTGGTATAATTTGATGTATTTGGTTGAGTGTGGTTCGCTTACCGTATTTTTCCCTTTCTGACATGTACAAGCGAGGGAAATCTATCATTGATCATTGACTCTGTCTTCATTTTTTTTATGTTTATTACTTCCTTTTTTTTTTCTTTCTTTCATCGATTCATTGCTTCAATATTCCCCATATTCTTGTCATGTCATTTTCTTTAACATTGGACTATTAGACAAAATCACAAAAAATAGCGCATGCTCCATCTGTCACTTCTACGCCTAAGGTCTAACGAATCGTACTTTTTCATTGCCAATGCTTTCTTCGCTTCGTTTTCTTCTTCTTTTCTCTATTGAAGACAAAAAAAAAGAGGATACATTGTATAATGGACGCAATGATCTGTACACACAGAGTTTACTTAGTTTTGAAGATGTAAATAAAATCTATTTAAATATATATTTACTAGAATATAGTAAGGCTTAACATTTCGAGAAAAACAGAGGACAAATATCAAATACGTATAGAAAAAACGTTGTTTTTTTGTAATTTATTTTGATGCTTAAAAGATAGGTTTTTTTCTTCTTATCTCTTTTTTTCTTCCGATGTCCCTGAGATGAGGACTAATATTGGAGGTCAAAGTCTTCGGTATGTGTGGACCTTGTTTAGATATGTATACAGTATAAAAATGAATCGACCACTTTGATTAGAAGAATATAAGGACAAGGGGCGTAGACTTTTAATCTAAATTTTTATTAGATATTCACATAAGTAATATAACTATGTAACGAAATGCATGTATGTTTTTGTTTGTTAACAGTTTGAGTTGTTGTCAGGTAAGATCCATTAAAATTATCGAGAATGAAAGAAAAAACATTGACCTTGACTGCTCTCCTTCTTTTTTTATTTTGTGTACTTCACATATATTTCTTTCGTTACATTAAAATTTTGCGCATATAAAAACTCGTTCTAAGACAACACAATATATTAATACATTTTTTTAATTTCATTACAGACAAATAAGATCAAATATAAATAAAATTTAGCAATGTTATCATCGCAACGTCGTCATATACTACATGTATGTTGTTTTCTAATATTTATTTTTATATTTGAAATATTGGCCGGTGGTATAATTATATTTCCATCATATCAAATATCTTCCACATATATCACTGATAATCCAATTGAATACTATGGTTTATTCTCAACGATAATTATTTATTTTATACGTTTATTATCTTTATTACCATTACCATTGGCTATATGTCATACATGTGGTTTAGTTTTATATAATGTTTTTCCTGATCGACCAACATTAGAAAATTCACCATTATTAGGTCCAAAAATTCGTATACGTGTTGTAACACGTGGTGATTATCCAGATTTAGTACGTGCAAATGTTAAACGAAATTTAGAAACATGTGCAAAAGTTGGTTTAAATAATTTTCAAATTGAAATTGTTACTGATAAATCAATAAGTTTAATTGGTTTACCAACAAGTATGGTTCGAGAAGTTGTTGTACCAAATGATTATCGAACTAAAACAGGTGCATTATATAAATCACGTGCATTACAATATGCATTAGAACCTGATGTTAATCAATTATCACCAGATGATTATATTGTACATTTAGATGAAGAAACTTTATTGACAGAAAATTCTGTTCGTGGTATATTAAATTTTGTTAATTCAAATCAATATGATATTGGACAAGGACTGATAACATACGCGAATGAGACAATTGTTAATCATATAACAACATTAGCTGATAGTATGCGTGTTGGTGTTGATTTAGGATGTTTAAGATTTTGTTTAAAAAAATTTCATCAACCACCATTCTTATTTAAAGGATCATTTGTTGTATGTCGAGCTCAATGTGAATTTGAAGTAACATTTGATAATGGACGTGCTGGTTCAATAGCTGAAGATACATATTTTGCTATGTTAGCTATGTCAAAAAATAAAAAATTCGGATGGATTGAAGGTTTGTTTTAATAAAGGAATTTATAAGAAGAATTTAAAAAAAAAAGTTTTCTTTTGATATTCTAGGTGAAATGTGGGAAAAAAGTCCGTTTACATTAGGAGATTTTATTAAACAACGTAAACGATGGTTGCAAGGAATTTTACTTGTTGTTCATGAAAGACGTTTACCTATTCGAGTTCGAATTGGCTTAGGTAAAATTAGAAAAAAAACATATGAAGAAAAAAAAATACTATTTTATTTTATTTTTTTGTTTTAGGCATCGCATTATATTCCTGGGTTACATTACCATTAACTTCATTAAATGTTATTCTTACTCCACTTTGTCCTATACCTTTACATTGGACATTAAATTTTTTGATTGGTTATGTTGGAGCTGTTAATATTTATTTATATATAATTGGTGCAGTTCGTTCATTTTCATTAGTACGTTTAGGTTATGCACAATTTGCACTTCGAATATGTGGCACATTAGCAACAATTCCATTTGTTGTTATATGCGAAATAACTGCAGTTCTTTGGGGTTTATTTAGTGACAAAGGAAAATTTTATATTGTTGATAAACAATTAGGACCAATGCTTAATGTTTAATTCAACAAAAAAAAGAAAAGAAAAAAAAAGAGAAAAATTTCAATCATTCATTATGATAATCATTTTTTAATTTGTAAACGATTTTCTTTTTCTTTGTCTTTTTTGTTTTTATTCAGTCACTGAATGATGTTTTTATTGTAGCGTGTTCTTGATTTAGAACCTCAACCTTTTGTCTGTCAGATGATGTTTATTGTTGCTTTATCTAGTAGAATTATATCTATATATCTATATCTATACATATATATTCTGCAAAAAATAGAGGAAAACTTTATTTTGTTTTTGTCGATGATAGAACAATCTCATCTATATAATATATTTAGTTTTTAGATTTCTTTTTTGTCTATTGTTCTAAGATATTACTAACTTGAACAGTTTGATATTTCAATCAAAAGGATTGAATTTTAAACAGCTGATAATCTTGAAGGGTAATGATACAATATTATGAGTTTTATTTTCTTTTTCGTGCTAAATGATTGATTCAAAAACAATTAATAATATGATGTTATGTAATTAATGAAGCATTGTTTTCTTTAGAGTTTTTTCTATTGGTGTTATTGTTCTGGCCTCGACTGGAGCTCCATATATAATTAAGGACGATCATTCATCATCGTCTGCCGCTGGTGGTACTAAATCAAAAACAAGTTCAATGAGTTCATCAGAAGAAGGTTTTATTAATCGATTGTCTTAGTTTTATTTAATCAGTTGTTTTTTTTTTGTTGTTGTTGAAATAGTTTCGTGGATTTCATGGTTCTGTGGTCTTCGTGGTAATGAATTTTTTTGTGAAGTTGATGAAGATTATATACAAGATAAATTTAATTTAGTATGTTTAATTAAAATTTAAAATATTATTTAGAATCTTGAATTATTATAGACGGGTCTTAATGAACAAGTGCCTCATTATCGTCAAGCACTTGATATGATTCTTGATCTTGAACCTGATGATGATCTCGATAATCAAGATAATCCAAATCAATCTGATTTAATTGAACAAGCTGCTGAAATGCTTTATGGTAAATAGAATATTTTCAAAAACGAAGACACAATTTAATCATATTTGAATAGGTCTTATCCATGCACGTTATATATTGACTAATAATGGTATAGCACAAATGCTTGAAAAATTTCAAAATGGTGATTTTGGTCTTTGTCCTCGTATTTATTGTGACAATCAACCAATGTTACCGGTATAAAATAAACACGGGTGTTCCGAGCTCGCCAGGATTGAGAGGGAAGAACTAATGACTCAGAAGATCGATTAGAAGAAGTTTATGAAAGTTAAGTGAAATTTGGGACACTGCGCATCCAGACGGACATTAAATGAAAAAAAAACGAAAGTCATCCCTTCATCGATTCAAATATAGTTCGAGACAATTTAGTAAAACGAACCCATACCAATCCGAATCCGTTTACAAGTTACAATAGGTTTACTGGACTTTTTATCCGTTTTTAGGTAATTCTCGGAAAACCGAATAACGAAATTTTGATTCATTATTTTCAAGTGAACGCGATTTTTGTGACATGTCTGTGTCAAACAGCTATTTTCGAAATATTCTAAGAGTCATTAGACCTATCTAGAGTCAAATGTAGAAAATGCTGGAACCACGCTAGAGAAAAACGAATTTTTTTTTAAAGATTTGAGCGAATTACTTCCTCAATTTTCTCATCACTCGGGACAGCCCTCAAAATAAAAAAAAAAAACATTTTTTTCTTTTATTTTTTTAATCCATATTTTATAATAGATTGGTTTATCGGAAGTTCCTGGTGAGGCTATGGTCAAACTTTATTGTCCTAAATGCATGGATGTTTATACACCAAAAAGTTCTCGACATCATCATACAGATGGTGCATATTTTAGTACTGGTTTTCCTCATATGTTATTTATGGTTCATCCAGAATATCGACCAAAACGACCAACAAATCAATTTGTTGCTCGACTTTATGGTTTTAAAATTCATTCAATGGCTTATCAATTACAATATCAAGCAGCAGCTAATTTTAAACAGTCAAATTCAACTTCAGTTATTCCAAGTAGTGCTGGTGGAACAACAACAACTCGGCCACTTATTAAAGATTAAAAAATAAATATGAACAAGCTTACACCTATCTATCTGTTATTGTTGCTTATTTACTGTATATGCCTTTCTTTAAAAACATCAACTAAAATAAATATCTAAAATATCCTATAGATTTATGCAATTTATAGATCATTATGTGTTTGTTTCATAATTGACAGATAAATAAAATAATATTATCTGAAATTATATTTTTAAAACAAATTGCTTGTCTAAGATAATCATTATTTAATTACTTTGAATAGATTCTTTTATTTGAATATTTTTAGATGCCAAACGGAGAAGATGTTCGACTTAAAGTTGATCATGTTAAAAGTAAAAAAGTTGAAGGAACATTATATATGATGAGTGAACGTATGGGTTGGATGCCTAAACATAAAGATGTATTTACATTATCTTTTGATTATTGTGATATTAAATGTAAGCTATTCTTGTTGTTGATTTTTTTTTTCTTATTTGAAATGTATCTTTTTTTTTTTAATTAAATATATATAAAGATCATCGTATATCATCTGACCAAAAATCTAAAATACGTTTACAAATTGTTTGTTATAATGAAATGATGACTACATTCCATTTTTGTAATCCAATTGGACTTGATGCACAAAAAAAAGATCGTGATGCTGTTTCGGATTTACTGAAAATTCTATTACCAGAATTTAAAACAATGATGGATCAAGCACTAGAAGTTAAAACTAAGTAAGAAAATTTCATAATTACAGTCATTTCTTTTTAACATGTTCATAAAATTTCTTATCAATGTGACAGTACTAAGTAGATTAACCAATAGAAACATTATTGTTACAATTAACGAATAGTCTATCTGTTTTCTATAGCAGAGAATGTCATAGAGCAATTTTCTTTCTCTTGTCCTGCGGAGTGCAGGAATTTGATATCTAAAGGGTGAACAAAACAAACAAAGATAAACGATTGAAAATGGCATTAATACAAACAGATGGACAACGAGAGGAAATAAGTTTTCTTTTAATTGCTTTTCCTTGAATTTCTCATAAGAATGGATAAATAATGTTTTCAAGTTGATCTGATGATAAACATGTTCGTCTTTGAGTTAAATAATCTTTCTACCGAACGAGTCGTCGCTTGTAAAGCATCTAGTATTCTGACTATTATTAATCATAAGGAAAAATCAAAACGAATTTCACTATTAGATTAGAAATTCATTGAATCATGATCAATTACATGACTTGAGTCTTCTGCAGGATATGCGTCCTTTAACGTTCTCTATTTCAGACTACATAAGTCTGAAGTCAATGAGGCAATATTTAGTACATCAAGGTGAAATTTGTCGATGGCATTACAAAAGTTTATTGTAAATCTTTGGAATAAGTAGATAGAGTCTGATTAAAGTGTAGTTTTTTTTAAAGTACTGTTCTTCAGTATCAGTGAATATGTGCTTCTCAATGAGCCAGTCTTGGAAAAAGTTTTGCCAGGCTGTCGGTTGGCTTCTTCGAAAGCGATTAATATTGCGTTGTCGTCAACGAACTGAATTCCACATAGATGATATTTGAGCTTTGCAAATAAGCCGAAGTCATAGAAAATTCGAACTCGATACACAATGTCATTAATGTCATGAAGAATGACATCGTGACGAGCGCTCTTTTTTTTTTCTTTTCGTTCTAATACAATTTTGAAGTATTACGGCTGACAGTTGTTGACATATCACGCTGCATTTTATATCTCATCAGTTTTTAACGATGTAGAATTGATTAGATTAGATTTCATGAAGAAAACAGTTTCCATTCTTTCGATGAACTTTGGTTGGGTACAAATCGATTCTTGTCTTCATATTTATTGAATAAATAATCATAACATTGCATTAAGTCATTATTTTTGATCATCGCTTAGGCAGATGTGACATCCACTGGACACAAACTTTGCTTATACAATAACAGAAAATAAATGTATTAATAATTCTGTAAAAAGACCTTGATTAGTTTGAAGTTGATAAGAAATTTCATTTCTATGCAATTGATTTTTCTAAATTCATTCAGATACTTTCTTAATGATAAGTGCATTCTAAGCATTGTTGTTCATGCAAGAGATTTTATAGTCTTAAAAATTTTTTAATTAGATGTCTACTATAATAGACTTTTTTCATAGGATTTTAAATGAAAATAAAACAGTTTATCAATTGTACAAAGATCTAGTTATTAATGGTTTGGTACCAGCCGATGATTTTTGGAGTAAATATGTTGATGTATGGATTTTAATAAAAAACAAAAAAGTTTAATTATCAAATCTTTTTTTGTTTATTTGTTTAAAATTTTAGTTCGATAAATTAACAGAAAGTACAAAAAAGCAAAACACTGGTGTATCTGGTGCATTTTTGGTATGTAATTAAATTTAAATTGTCTAATGTAATATTTTAATTTAGACAAATATTCGTCCTGAATCAGGTGATAATGGTGGTTTAATATATAAACTTAATACAGATACAATAATGTCTATTTTTCGTACATATCCAGCAAGTATGTTAATTAATTTTAATTGAAAATAATTAACTAAAAAAAAAAAACTATCGATTGGAATAGTTCGAGAAAAATATGAACAAAATGTTCCTGCTGGACATATGAGTGAAGCTGATTTTTGGCGAACATTTTTTCAATCACATTATTTTACTATGGATCGTATGCATTCATCTAATTCACGTGATCTTTTTACAGATTGTGTTAAACGAGATGATGAAAGTAAGGGAAAAATTTGCTTTTTTTTGTTTGTCTTGAAATTTTAATTTTGTTTTCAAATAGAAATGCACAATGAAGCAGAACGAGCTAGTCGAAAAGCAATGGCTGTCATTGCACCAGAAACTAATGAAACAAGTGAAGTAAGAATTTTTTTGTTTTTTTTCTTATAATAATTTTGCTTAATTATTCTAAATAGATTGGTTATGGGGTTAATGAAAATGCTGCCGACACAACAGGAAAAAATGATTTAAATAAAAATCTTATTAAACGTTTTAATTTTCATTCAACTATGATACTTAAAAGTACACTTGGTTCAGATACAAATAATGATATATCATCGACAAATCGATTAGAACTTGATGATGATGATGATGATGTTGCAAAAAAAGTATGTTTTGTTTTTTCACAATTCATTTGTATGAAACAATGAAAATTAATTTTTAAACTGATCTGTTTCAACTCTATTAAACACTAGTATATTACTGTTAGGATGTTATCATTATTGGAATTTTATTGACATACTTTTGTATGAAGTTCATAACGTATTTTATTGAAAATAGAGACAAACGAGAAATTAGTTACTGAAAATCTTGATTACCTTCATTTATCAAGACAAAATACCGACATAACGTAGAGTTCTTGCGCTATTCATACATACTAACTGACTACAAGATGGACGGGTGATCGGAGACAAACAGCTATTAATAATTTGTCTAGGATCATTCTATGGCTGGTGGTACTGAGTTGGCTAAATATTTAGACGACTAAATCTTGACAAATTTGAATCTTGAATTCTGTATGATGAGTTGAAAATAAGATCGCTATAAATAGTGATCTTTAGTAATTCTATGTAATTAAATATGATGCTCGGATTCATGCAGAGTGAGTAGAAATCATGATTTTTCTAGTAATTTTGTCTAATCTTATTTAGTCTAACGATGAATGGGCTTTGTTTGACTTATTTCTTTGATATGGTGTGTTAGATGAAACTGAAATTTTTACTACAGGAATTTTTCAGATGATGGAAAAAGTTTAACAATAATGTATTTTTTACTCTTTTTTTCCATAATATTAAGCAATTAGATCAAATTTAGATGGTAATTTTAATAGCCAATGAAATTTTCATGTTTAAGAAGACTATTTTTTTAATATTGCCATTTTAAATGGAAAAAAAAACGAGAAGCCGTTGCATTGCCTATAACCTTTCATTAACAACTTGAAAATATCATAAAAACCAAAAATAGCTGTTTTTTCTGATACACTCTATTTTTTAATAGTTCTCCTGATACGTTTAACTTTGTAAAAGAAGGTTGTAGAAAATATGATGACTTCTCATTTTGTTCAAAAGTTTGTATTCTGTAAAATGATGTTCTTAAAAAAGCATCTCCTGGGACCTGAAAAGAATGGTGTCCAATTTTCTAAAAACTTTGTCATCATAGTATGGAATGCATTAGATTGAAAGCTTCTTAACTGGTTATTAAAGTCACTATTTGAATTTATGCTAATCGCTGAACATTATAGACAACAATCAAAAATATATTGTTGTTAGCCTCTCTTTCACCTCCTTACAGTGTTCGGTATGCCTTGATGTCCCGTAAAACGAGTATTTTTATGATATATTCAATCGCAGAATAAGTTGGCATCTAAATAAAGTCTAGTGAAACTTCAGCTCGATTCAGTAGTGCTTTTTTTGTGTAAAAGGAAAAGTGAATTTTGAGAATGTCATAATTTACTTTATTATTTATTTAGTTTAAACCCGATGATGATTTAGAAGATTTACGAACCGAACAGCAAGAAGAAACTCAAACATTAAAATTAGTTAATCCTGAAAGATATCTACGTGCACCAACAACAGATCGTTCACAAAAAAATTCTGTACTACAAATACCAATAAATCTTAATAATCTTAAACAAGAAATGGCCAATTGGCATGTTAATACAGAATTAGTAATGTGCTTATTTTATTTTCGTTCGAAAATCACTTTGTGTTTTGTTTTTCTTCTAGAGTTTGAATTCATCTTTAGCACATAGAATTGTTAAAGATTTAACACCTGGTGGTGCACTTATGCATGGAACAACGGCACAAACATTATCACGTAATTGAAATTAATAAATCAATTAAATTATTCTTTAAAGTATTATTTTTCTTTTTCTAGAAATTGTTCCTCAAAATATTCAAGAAGAAATGCAAACTATTTATATATCATTAAGTGAACTTCTTCGTCATTTTTGGTCGTCATTTCCACCGAGTTCATCTTTAATTGAAGAAAAAGTTTATTTCATTTAATCAACTCATTGTTTTTTTTAAAACTTATTGTTTTTGTTGTTTTTCTTTTAAATTAGATTCATCGTGTTCATGATACAATTGAGCGTTTTCGAGAAACACAAGTTAATGCTTTTAAAGCAAAAGTATCAACTGATCTTTTAACAGATTTTCATGTAAATATTTATATTTGATGTTTAATAGAATAGTCATAACATCTATTGTATTTCAGTTGGCAGGTCACATGGAAGATCTTATTGATACAGCTAATGCAAAATATCAACAATGGGTTAAAACATTATCATCAACCGGAAGAACTTGATTTTAGAAAATGAATTTCATTTATTATATGTAAAAAAAAAAGTATTGAATAAAACAGAATCTAATTGATTATATAAAAGTACTTCGATATGAATGATCAAAAACCCAAATTCTCGATATGTCTTTATGGATGGATATGATTTTCACAAAACACTAATATTTTGCGATTGAATGCACAGAATGCTTTGAAGATGGCTTCATAGTTATGCTGCATGTAGGCGTATTTCTCAGTAAATATTCATGATGAGCATATTTTTGAGAATGAAGCTAGATTATAGATGATTTGAGCAATGAAAATCGACAAGCAGAGCGGTTATAAGCTGTATAACTTTCAGCTCTTTTGTATGTTAACGATGATGTTTTCTGAATAAATATTCAAGTGTCTTGTTTTATAACATTCTTTATTTTCATAAAGATATAGAACTGCTATATCAAACATTGCAATCAAGATAGATATCTATTCGACATGCTCGTCTAATTATACACAGAATTTTGAATTATCACTTGACTAACTCAATATCAATTTTTACATAAAAAGAGTCGTTCGTTGGTTGATAGCATTTTTTAGATTTATCTTTCATACATAGTTATTATTAAAATTATTTTACGAACAGTTATCTTAAAAATTATCTAACAGTTTATGATCATTTTTCATTATTAGAACATCGGATAAAGAACTAAAACTAATCGTTAGACATATTCCTAGAGAAACTTTAAAATCAACCTTATTGAATTGTATTTGATGGTTCATTGAAATTCTACATTTGCCGAAAGCTGTGTACCAACTAATGAAATTATATGGATGATATCTTCGCTTTTTTATCTCCTCGATCAATTATAAGAAGATAAACATAATTTTTACAGTGCCCACAGCTCTTCCCATATCTTGATTAATTTCTTTCATTATTTATTTTCTTAGTATCTGCTACCATAGTAAGAATGATCTTTCAATGGTTCTCGGCAATCTGACTCTTGCTACAATGATCCATCATTATACGTACATTACATTGAAATTTTGTGCGGTCGAATTTCAATGTGAATAGGATTATTTCTGATTTGCGATTCATCAAATGCGTGCATTTGTAGTCGGTAACGTTAAAATAAAAAGTTAAATCTATAACATACGAAATTCAACATGGAAACTGAACATTTGGATCATTGCTCAACAGTGCTAATGTTGAACCTTATATATGATTTTAAAAAATCCAACCACGGTGTATGTCTCCAAAAGAGAAGTCTCTCAATAAATTGTCTATGACAAAAATAAAAGAATTTTTTCGTGATCAAGTCATTATCATGAATCTAATCTTGGTCTTCATGAATTAGGTGTCTCGATGAAATAATTCTCTTCACGTTTCTCGTTTTGATGGCAGAAATAAAAACATGTTACATGTATTGATAATGCTTCGTAGTGCACAGCTAGAGAAAAGAAAATTAAGCTACTAGCTATCTTTGCGAGAGTATCATAGAGAAGGCTGTATGTCACTCATTTTTTTTCTTCTTTTTGCGGTCAACCAACAGCGAACGCCTTGCTTTTTGTGGGATGAGGGCAAAAGATACGAGAAGAAAAAAAAACGACACGAGCATCATGTACTTTCGTTTGGCAAAGAAAATAGTTCTTTTATTCATTCAAAGCGACATCAAATAAACTATTGTAAATACGCATTCCTGCTTGAATACGATTGGAAACAAGATACATCGTTGTATCTCGGATCGATGGAGGTTGCAGATGAGAAACTTGAATTGGCCGAGGCAACACAACGAACAAAAACGACTGATGCCTCGTATGAATCTGAAGAAATTCCTTTGAAACCTTTCTTCATGTATGTACGATTTACTTGTTGCATTCAACATTTTAATTCTTGTTTTTTTTTTATATGTAGCTTGACACTCATTTGTTCGCTATTTCCATGCACAGCGTTGATCACCGGCGTGTGTTTCAAAGACCTATGCCCGATCAATCGTAGTATCTCAGAATACATGATTGTTTCAGGTTCGTGCAACCTCGTTCTCTTTACTCTAGTCAATTTATTAATTGTGTAAGTGAAATGCAAAAATAAAAACTTTTCTTATCTGTTTTTTTAAATCTTTTTAATCAATAGAATTGTTGCACGCTCAGAAGATTCAATTGACAAAAACAATGAATCGCCAAAGAAAAGTGGGTGCCGTTATATTGGATGTTTCATGCTCGTACCAATTACAGGACTTATCTTGTTCTTGATTATTCGGGTTTGTTTTGCAATACCATCGCTTATCGCTGCTTATGCGCAAGCTCAATTTGGTAATCCAGACGAAACGAAAACTTATTGCCATCCTGTATTATATTGGGCATTTTTCGTTTACACGATCACCGCATTCATACTGAGTATTCTCTTCTGTTGTTTCCTACGGTGTGTGGTACCAAAAGGACGTCGATTTCTTCTTTTTTAGGACAAATACATGTTTCTATTTTCTTTCGACTTTATTAGTTCACGAGTCATATGATGAAAAAATAAATGATGAAGAAATTTTCCTTCTGGATTGAGTAGAAATTGGTCAAAGTTAAATAATCATTAGAAACAATGAGAAGTACATTAGATTCTATGATGGATTGCTATGAATCCTAACAAAAAAAATCGAATAGGATATCTGCAATTTCAGCTTGTCTAATGAAACACAGCGTGCAAGAAAGTCTTTACCATAATTGTGGCATTCATAGGACAGCAATCAGTTATTATTAATTGATTGGCTGATCTTTATTAGAAGATAAGATGTGTAATCAGCGGAATTTCTTTAGTAAAACTACAATGAATCATGATTGTTCCAACAATTCGAAAGAACAAGATCGGGAAGGTCATTTAAAATCAATGTGGATCGAGCTAGATATGAATTCATAAAAAAAGATTGTGTATGTGGGTGTCTGCGGGGATGTCGGTGTGGTTGAACAGATGGTGTATACTCATATCCGCATACCTACATCGACGCCGCGACACCGACACCGTTTGTATTATTATGTATCGGTGACATTTCTGTATAAGGAAAGTAAAATTCCTTTTTTGTAAGATGTATCTAAGTAATGAAATAATAATTTTAAGATAAGAGTGGTGAGTTGAAGAAGAATGCTCGTTTTTCATATTTGATCAATTTTTATGATAATCGGTCAAATTAATTTAATTTTGTCTTACTTTACATGGAGACATAGAGTAAAGCGAGACGAACAATTTTTCTCTGACAAAGAATACTTGAAAACCTACTCGAAAACTTTCAAAGGTTTTGACAGTTCTCTTCAGTGCAGACCACTCGAGTGATCTGAATGGAATCGGTTCATTTGAGAAAAAGAATTTTTTTCTTTAGTGGGTCTTAGCATTTTGGGGGCTGCATTTTAATATTTCAACAAATTGATGAGACTAGCGATGGTACCAGGAATCTGTGTCAGGGGAGCTCAGCTCCTACTCTCAAAATGTCAAAGGATGTAGTCGGAGTTTAAATCGAGGTTTTTGCGGCTCCGCCGTTAACAGTGCTTAGATCATTCTGAAAATTTCTAGAATCTTTCCAAGTATTCTATGAATATAGGATTTCTAATGTAGATTCTAATTAGTCGAAATATTGAGAGTTTTAGTATTTGCTGCGATGAAAGGTATTATTGATCTAATTGAGTCAGAAGAGGATGGACATAGAAAAGTAAGAATTAACTGAGTTCTAAGTTAAGGTAAAACTCATTAGTATATGTGGCAGTCTGTCGAGAGAAGGGATAGAGTGCTCCAAAGCTCAGTGAACGATTAAATCAATGTGTATGGCAGGCTAATATCATAATGAAACCGACGGAACGAAGAATATAATAATATTTGTTGCTTTCTATGGTATCTATCGTATACATTATCATTAGGAGAAAAGTTCTTATGTACTGAAGATGTAGATGACAATATAAATTAATTTTTTCAGTATAACAATATTAAATGAATCTAATAAACCATCAGAGCAATAATTCTGAATGCAAACATTTTTGAACTTATAAAATTTAAGAGTACGCCAAATCACGATAAAAAATTGTTATAATTTTGATTTATTCATTTATCTGTCTTTGTCCAACAATTTTCATCCAATTATTAAATTTTGAAGTGGTAAAAACATCGTGAAAATTTAATTTATTAGAAGAAAAGTGAGAACAATGATAGCAATAACATGTATTGTTTCCCACAGATTGTTTCAACCATATTCTATCGTTAAATCAGTTTCACAGAAATGAACGTTTTTAGTAATTTATTGGATAAATTGGTAATTGTGTGTGAACTGGAGAATCATTATATGATGCACTGATATCATTTGAAACAAACTTTGTTCCAAAAATTTCATCCATAGAAACAGATTGTGAAAGAAGATCACATCTAGCTTGATTATCAGAAAACGAAGAAATAAAAGGAAGGTTTTGAAACTCATATGATGATAGAGAAGATGAAAGAATAACATTCAAATCTATTTGTGGTTCATCATCCCTTGGTGTTTTTTCTTAGAAGAAAGCAAAAACGACTCTATAGTTCTACGTTTGTCAGGATGCATTTCTCAAGATTGTAGCTTTACCACAAGAAGAGAAAGTGCTTTTTGGCATGAGTGTTGCAAACAAACCAACGAAAAACTAGACAGACGCCTTTGCAAGTCAGAAAACGGTTTGTAGCAAAATCACCATGCAAGATTAGCAATTCTGAGTAAAAGTCTTTTTTTTAAATACAGTAGACTTGGAACTATCAAATGATACATTTTTTATTTGAATACAATTTATTCTTGATTAATAGGAACATGAGAACGTGAGATTCTAACAGTTTCGTTTGAGGGATCCAAATTATTCGAACTGGGATAATCAGATCATTTTTAGAGCTTTCAGCATGTTTGTAAGAACTCTATGAAAAATTGTTTCCTTCTCTGGATTTTAACTGGTAGAGATACATAGGTTATTTTGAAGAATGATCCGAATTACACCAATCAACACTATCCATTGCATTTTAGTTCCTGGATGATATGGAAGAT